TTTTCTTTTAGGGAAAAATTACTGCTTCTAAATGACTATGAATCCTGTAAGTTTTTGTACAACTGGGTTCCTCTTGAGGTCTATTTTGTAAACTCCATCGGACTATAACTGCTTGGAATCATTACTGAACCACAAATGGAGTGTTCAGACAATACTCAAGCTTCAGGACAGAAATAAGAGCACCTCTCTGATCACCAACCAAAAAGAGAGCTGATATGTCAAAAATATAGGATGCTTTACCCAAGGTATAGCTGTAACCTTCACAGACTTATCTTCAGGATATCACTTCCCAATACTAGCTAGACAGAAACTTCAAATAGCAATCCTTCTTCTCTATGCTTCCTAGCAAAACATCTGAAAAAAGTAATTTAGATTTACTACCTCCCACTTCTTCAGCACCTTTGCACTTGGCTTCTACCCTTACGGTCCACTGAATGTTTCCACAAAAGTCCCTAATAATCTCTGTATTACCAAATCCAACAGGCTCTTCATTTGACTCCTCCAAGAGAAAATGCTGACAATGCTTCCCTTAGCTACAACACACCATTTTCCTGACATTTCCTTTTTCCTTTACCCAGTCTCCTTCCTGACATTTCCTTTTTCCTTTACCCAGTCTCCTTCCTGACATTTCCTTTTTCCTTTACCCAGTCGCCTTCACAATCACCTCTTCCTTTGTTCCCCATCTAAATATCAAAGTTTCCAAAGGCTTGTCCTGAGAATTCTAACCTCTTCATCATATTCTCTTTCTGGGTGACCTAATTCAAACCACTGCTTCTACTACTACCTATATTGAAGCTTCCGAAAGACCAAGACTATACCATAGAACTCTTAATGCAATGCACCATGTTCCAACTACTCAAGAAATGGCAGCCTAGACTAGAACTCCAGGTAGATATATACAATATCCAACTGCATACAGTATATCTCTACTCACATGTCTAACAGGAACCTCAAGGTAAACGTGACCAGAACAGAACAAAGTCCTTCCCTTAAATCTGTTATTCATCCTCTATTCCCTTCTCTGATGGCATTGCTATCCATTCACTTTTCAAACCAATAACCTAGGAATTATGCCACATACTCCCTCTCCTCCAGCCTCCATCTCTGAATTAAATAGAGTCTACCTCCTTAATTACGTCCGTACTTCTTCTCAGTGCAATTGCCACTACCTTAGTTTAATACGGTTTCATTATTTGCCCTGATTACTGAAGAAGCCTAGATGATCTCTCTGCCTCTTATTTGATCACCACCAATTCTTCCTCCAAAATGCTGCCAGAAGCTAAAGCACAAGCACTGCGCTTCACAAGCACAAATGATGACTCCTCCACAGTTCTGGGATAAAATTCAAATTGTTGAGCTCTACACAAGGCCCTCCACGATCTGGCTTCAGCATCGTCTCTTGCTATTCCCCCCCACTTACCTCCCTTCACCTGCTCTTCCTAAAATGACTCAAGATGTCTGGCATTCCCTGCCTCTATGAAAGTTCTTCCATCTACCTTGAACACCCACCTCTTTGCCTGGTTCTTAACTCTGAATACACATCAGACTAACCTCAGACACTATTTAAAAAAACGTAGATGATGAGATCCTACTGATAAAATTTAGTTTCACTTTTAAAGAACTCCACTAAGTGATTCTGATAGAAAGTCGGATTTGAGGACCAGTGTGCAACCCACCTGAGCGCCATCACGTCTGGGAGGCTTGTCTGACCCATTCTCTCTTCCAGTCTGTCTTTGATGATCTTTTCTATCCTCTCAGAACCTGTTACATGTTTCTGTCATTGCACTTACCTTGGTGGTCTGAACTCCTGTTTACAAAAATAATTACCTGGGCAAATGTCCTACAGAAAAGTGATCTCCTCTCAGTCGAGACTGCTGGGCTTATATGTGAATGAGTGAGGATTTGCATTCATATATACCCAGACTTTGGCCTCAAAAGAACATTTCTGAAATTAAAAAGAAACAAAAGTGGCTTTTATACTCTTTACCTCATCTGAGCCCTATATCAATCCTATAAAGTATAGACAGATGTTGCCACCTGATGAGGAAGCTCAGAAAAGTTAACGTTAGACAACTCGTCTGTGGACACACAAGTAACAAACGAAGGGGAGAAGTGCAATTCTGACTCCCAGTTCCACACGGGCCTGTCCCCACTCAGGGGATAGGCTGGCACTTAGTCAAAAGTTTCCCGAATTACCAAGCGCAGGTAACACCAGTCCTAAGATTATCGATAACACTTATCAAATAGCAAATTCGTCCTCCTAGTAGGGGGATGCTTTTCCCCTACAAACTCGGGGTTGTGCGAATCTTGGGCACGTCCACCGCTCCCGGAGGGTGGGCAGGGCAGACAAAGCCCCTGCGGCCGGCTGGAAGCGCCACAGCCCCTTCGGGCAGGGCAGGGAGGGCCGAGGTGGCCAATGGGAGAACCAGACTCTCCAGAGGGAGAGATGCCGGGGCCAGAGGTAGGAAGGGCGGGAGGTAGTAGGGGGCCTCAAGGGGACGGACACCTTCCACAGCTAGACCTGCTTCCCACTCATCCCCAAGGAAACTACGCAGTGCCCACGGCAAAAACAGCTCACACGAGACCCCAGCGTAGACGAAGGGAAGGGGGTCCCAGTG